CCGAGTCGGTAGCACAATAATTCCATACAGTGCCCCAGGTTAATTTTCTCCGTACCTAATTTCTTCGGTATGTCCTTTGGGCAGATAGTAGCTGTTTCACCTTCCATTCTCGAGGATTTCACAACGCGTGCCCAAATCATTGCAGCGGTGACTTCTCAGTCTGAAGAAGCAGCGGCTGTACACTAAAGTTCTTTCAGGTTTCTGTGTGTGCCATGTCAACGAGAGAGACGTAAACCCAGCGATTTGTCTCAGAAAGCCTATTTCAGCCACTCGTACTTGGAATCTAAGTTTTTAGTAACGGCCCACAAGTCATGACTGTAGTAGAGAATCCAGAGGAAGATCGACCTAAACACAGAGAGATAGTCAGAACCGTTTGTGCAGGGCCGCTGTCCATTCCAGATTGCCAGTCGATTACTTCCTCTCATTTCCATCACCAGTAACAACTCCGAAGTATCTGAGCTTCTCCACCCACCCCACTGCTTCTACGTTTATCTGCAGAGCGAGAACGAAAATGCATGATTTTCATTGTAGACACTTCGTACGCATCTCACACATACTAATGCACGCTTCAGTACTCAAAAAATCTGTTCATAGCACACTGTCGGTTGTAAATTCGTTTTTTTCCAATCACGCCTTTCCACATTCAGTGTGTGCTCCGTCACGTGCCCATTGCTCTGAGGAACTGGGTAATCGGCATTTAGTTCGGAGCACCCCCCCCCCACACACACACGCACTTGCTCAAAAAAGGATTCATATTCTCGCTCCAAATTAGGCGACCTTTAACAGGGTAAACGCTTTAGGTTATTGTAGGTTCAGTCGGAGGATAGCACTCTTCCGCTGACAGACATCCATTCAGTGATTCTCTCAACCAGGTTGGGTGCCTAAAGAACAACGGCGACTTGAATGCTCATCGTAATGTCTACGTCTAAGTAGAATAACTTCTAGTCGCACAGGATCAGGATTCCAGAGCCTTGTCGTTTTGTTGGTGAGAGTCCAACTATGTCGAGTTGATACTTTGCGAACTCATTAACTAACCCCTGCTCTTTCTCTCTAAGTGAGGATATATTTAAATTTCCGATTGTAAGCTCCCGCTGGCGTTCGGTCCCGTGGAGCCTTTCCTGAGTGGTATAGCGGCATTGCGCTTTCTGTCTCCTCAGTTCAGAGTGGGTAACGACTCAGCTGCTGACTGGTATCTTCGTCGTCGATCTTCGGTAGCCGTTGTCGCGCTGCTACGCCCCAGCTGCCAGAAGGTGTGAATCAGGTTCTGATCGCTGATTTTTTGCAGTTCTTCCTCTGTTCCGCAAAAACCTGCACAGCTCTTGGTAGCCCATGAGAAGACCGAGCCGGCATAATTTCCAGTGATGACAATATCATTACGGGCAAGTGGCTAAGTTTCATAAGAGACCTCACGCCGGTGCTCAACTCTCCTCCCTTGTCATCTGAGCTTGGGAGTGAATAACGGCGGAGTTGTCTGATTGGCTTGAAATTTATGTCCATTTAAACGAGTCTGTAAGAAGAGCGTTCAAAGGACTACGGCTTATATGCATCTTTGTCTGCTGTCTTGCTTATGTCGTACGTTGTAGAGCTAATTTTCCTCGCAGGTGTTTCTCTTTTTGCGCTGTGTTGCGTGTTTTTCGTTCTTCTGATGCTTTCTTGTTGTAGAAGTAGGTTTCATCTCAATCATCCGAAAGTACAGTCTCCTTGACGAAGTATCTTTCGTGAGCAATCAGTACTTTTCCCTTGTGTTCAGAGGAACGAACGATTTCGCGCTTCGCTAATTGCTGGAAGGTAGTATAATGTTTTAGTAGATGGAGGCGTATGTAAGTGATATCTTTATGGACGACTGCCATAGATTTTCATTTTAAACACATGACTATTCTTATTCATTTGATATCGTGTGGGTCGATTTTGACTGTACTTAGTTCTGTTTCTGTATTTAGTGCTGTTTGCTTTTCTGTCTTTTTCGCATTTTCACCAGAGTATGTAGGCAGACTAAAACGACAGTGAAAATCAGACCGTAATGTATAGAAGGAACGTACCGTGATGAAGTGACCTCGTATGAATGCCACAAATTATAGTAGTAGCAGTGCATGAACATTTTCATATTTACGTTTTAATACGCTATTATGAATAAGCGACAATGACATCTTTTTCTTTTTCGGCAAAAGCAAAACAAATAATAATATGTGCTGCAGGCGTACAAGGATAAAATGACCTCATTGGGTTATCAGTCTGAAGAATGCGGCTTATGATAACGTCCAATTACGCGACTGATGCCGAGGAATCAATTGATAAAAAGATTGTTCGTATAAGTAATGGCAGGATAAGAAAAGCAACTGTCCCCACGTTAATGGACTACGGTGAGTCATTTCAGAGGTTGC